GGGGCGGGGCCGCCATGCGAACCCTGCCACTGGGGCCTTCGGTGGAGCTCCCTATGGGGCCACGAACCGTGTGAGGGGTGCGCCAGAATGGGGCGGGGCCGCCATGCAAACGCAGCCACTGGGGCCTTCGGTGGAGCTCCCTATGGGGCCACGAACCGTGTGAGGGGTGCGCCAGAATGGGGCGGGGCCGCCATGCGAACACCACAGGATGGTTGGAAACGAATGGCCATGGCGATGATGATGACGATGATGATGCTACTGGGGATGGTGACGATGATGATGATGCTGATGATGATGATGATGATGATGATGATGATGACGATGATGAGAGAAGAGAGGAGGGCAGCGGGAGTTGAGACGCGGGGCGCTGTCTCTTCAAAACGAGGACCCAACACCACAGGATGGTTGGGAAAAAACGGGAAGGACGCGGGCGTGATCCTCGTGAGGGGCGTGCCGACATGGGCGTCGCGGCGTGCGGGCGCTGCTGTCTTGGTTCCAGCGGAAGCTTCCTGCGGCGGCCACGCTCACTGTCACGAGTACTCAGGGCCAGGCGTACGTGAACCATTCACATCCGTGTGTATATATATATATACACACACACACATTTATATATACACCAGGCGCGGCCATGCTCGCATTCATGCAAATATACCCACTCGCACGCAGACTCACTCACACTCAGACTCACTCGCGCTCAGACCCACCCGCGCTCAGTCTCTCGTGATTAGCCTATCGTCTTCGTTCGTGTTGTGTACCCCGCCACGCAATTCGGCGCACCCTTCGTACGGTTCGTGGCCCCAAAGGGAGCGCCACCGAAGAAGAGATTCACAATTGCGGTACTCACAACTGCATATGGTTGGGTTCTTCGCCAGGCTAATGTTTCAACATTTGTTGGTGCTTCGACCAAACGAACACTTCTCGCAGCTTCTGACATACGCCGGGACGCGTGGGCGAAAAGAGACAAAGCGGGCCTCTGCTTTCCGATCCGCGGGAGCGGCACACACGCCGACCCATCGCCGCCTGAAGAACCACGCGCCGCAGCAAGCTAGCGCGGCCGGGCCAATGCGTGCCACACGCAAGGGATAGAACCCACACGCCCGCGAGGGTCGGCCCCGCACGGCTCCCGGACCAAGATCAGCCAGAGGAGGGCCAGAGGGGGTTGGGTTGATTGGGTGCACACTTCATCTCAGTCATGCCCTTCGTTGAGGATGTGGGTTGACTCTCGCTGCCCTTGCTCATCGACCTGACAAGTCTTCTGCCTTTCTGCGGCCGGTCCGCGCGCAGCTGGCGCGATCTGGGCGGCCGTCCGCTGACGCTGCGGCCCCTGGACAGGGCCCCAATGCTGGGCTAAGAACATAAGAGGGGGTTTGGCGAACCTCGTCCGCGCTGGCCCCCTTGGTTTTCAACCCCAGGCCTCGCCGCTGAGGAGGGCATCGGCGGAGGCGGACGAGAACGGGATGTCCTCGTCGCTCGAGAGCGCCGTGCCCAGCGAGGCGGCCAGCTGATCCCAGGCCACGATCTGCTCGCCTCCGGCACGAAGTCAGTATCTAAAATGATAGCAAGATCCTTCTGCAAATCATTCACATCACCCCGAACGATAAATGCTCATGGGCATCTATAAATGCGTATCATAGTGAGGGGGGGCGAAAAATCATTCACTGTCCCTTGGTGCGTGGCTGAAGTGGGACTCCGCGACGCGGATTATGCTTGTTGTTGTTGTTGGTGCTGTTGTGTTTGTTGTTGTGGTTGTTGTTAGTGTGCTTGTTGTTGTTATCGTTGCTGCTGCCGTTGCTGCTGTTGTTGCGTTGCGTTGCGTTGTGTTGCGATGTGTTGCGTTGGGTCGCGTTTTTGTCATTGTTATTGTTGTTGCTGCTGCTGTTGTTGATTTTGTTGTTTTTGTTGGTGTGTTTGTGGTTGTTGTTGTCGTAATCATCGTCCCACCCGCGACCCATCCACGACCGGGCCGCGACCAACCCCGCAAACCATCCGCAACACACCCCGCGACCCGCCGGTGACCCACCCGCGACCCATCCGCGACACACCCGCGACCCACCCGCGACCCAACCGCGACCCACCCGAGACCCACCCGCGACCCGCACGCGGCTCACCCCACAACCCACCCGCACCCCACTCGCGACCGACCAACTTGCTTTGACGAAAGATTCGGCGCCTGCGGCGGGCTCTTCCAGAGCCTCGCAGACTGCCGACAACCCCGCCGCCCCCTCACCCTTATTCGCAATTGCGGGGTGCTGTGCGATGTACGTGTGTGTATATAAATATGTATATATATATATATACATTGGTATGGTATCACCCCGCTGTCCCAAAGCATTAGCATCGTGGATGAAAGTATGCTCAACCTGTGGCATGCAGTCTGCTGGGCGCACCTTAGGAAGTGCAACGTATGAGGCAACGCACGGAGGGCAACCTGAGAAATACCACCTGCGTGACGCAATGCATCCTGTGGGGGTGCAACAAACGGACTGTAACAGACGGGTTGTTTCTTATGGTGTGCAGTCGACGGGGTGCAGTATATGGGTGGGCTCCGCTGGGTGAACTCGATAACTGGAGCAATGTTGGAAATACCAAATGACATGACCCTACGAGTGGGCCACTGGAATGCGACCATGCGGGCGGGACCAGTTTTGGCGGGACTCTACAGGTGAAACCTTATTGGCGGGACCCAGACGGTGAGACCGTGCGGCCAGAGCCGTATGTTTGGGACCCAGAGGTCGGGACTCTGTGGGTGGGATTTCGGACTTGAAATAGCACCGTTCGGCGCCCACCTGCGGAACCAGCGCTCAGGACCATGGGTTCCGAGATGGCCAAAGCGCCCACCACAGGGGCCCTGTTGTAGCGCCCACTTCCTCCCTCCCTCTCCACCTCTTGTGAACCAGGCTCATCCTCCCTCCCTCCTGCATGCCTTGCTCTTCTTCCCTCCCTTCCTCCTTCCTCCTTATCCTCCTCCTCCTCCTCTGGTCCGGCGGCCCTCCGCCCCGACGGCCCCGAAAGCCTTGGGCGCGCGTTTCCTGTACAAACTTGCGCGCGCGCCTACCAACCGAGCCGACGCACAGGACCATTTGGCCCTTGCGCGCCGCCACAAAGACTGGCGCGGAAGTCGGGCTCATTAAAGGCCAGAAGTGCCTGGCGAAAGACCCAACAATATGCATCTGCAGCTACGTGTAGCGCAGGGTGTGGACACCTCTTCAGATACTGGGTGCCGCAAGGCCGTGCGTTCCGCATGAGCACACACATTTTTGGGGGGGACGTAGGTAGACGTCCCTGCCATGCAAACCCCGCCATTGGGGCCGCAGGTCAAACTCCGACTGGGGCCACAATCCTCGTCAGAGGTGTACCGAATTTGAAAAGGGAGGCGCCATGCGAACCCTGCTAATGAGGCCATGATCGGCGCGCATGGAACTCCCTATGGGGCCCATGAAACGCGGCAGGGGCGAGCGAAATAGGCGGGCGCGGTATGTGGACGCACCCGCCAGGGCGTAGAGCTCCTCATGGGGCCTGAGAAACGTGGCAGCGGCGAGCGTCATCGGCGGGCGCGGCATGTGGACGCTGCCGCTGGCGCATCAGGTGGAAGCCCTTGTGACGAAGCCGCGCATAAACGACGCAGTGGCAAACTATGATACGAAAACAAATGCGACTGCAAAAAACGTAAGGCTCAATTAAACAAGGGCGCGTGCCTCGCAAGGCCTCGGCTTACAATGCACACGCATGCTAGTGCAGCGAAAGGCTGCACATCAAAGCACCGGCCAGGGAAGTGAGGGCGGGGGGGAGATGGGGGAGGGGAGGAAGGAGGGAGAGGAGGACGAGGAGGAAACAAAAATGCGTCTAGATTGCGAAGTGTTGCGCCGCAGCCGAAAGTCACTCACAGGGAACTTGCAAGATGGTTTGCAGCTTGTCGCAGTCGCCCTCCGAAACGGCCAACGCTTGCGCGTGCAAGTAGGTCGTCCAATTGTAGTCGAGGCCGTCCACGCGAGCGTCGGGTATCCCATCTCCGCGGTGTCGGCTGGTGTGACTGGCAGTTTTCGAAAACCATTGTTCTTGGGAGGCTCAATGGTGCGTCCCGGGCGAATCGCCCATGCACCTTGAGCTGCCGTTCCAAAAGAGAAGCTAATAAGGATCTGGCGTTGGCGATTCTCCGAAAGTCAGCATTGCTCACTCGGGGTACACATGCTGGCAAAATGTTGCCAACTCGTCGCAAGCACCTTGCTTGAAATCCATCGAGTCTATCTCTGTTACGGATCCAGCCCATGGTACAGCTTCGAGAAGACACACACAGACACACACACACACACACACACACACGCACACACACACACACACTTTTTGATCTGCGGGGCGAGATCGAACCTCTTCCGCTAAAAGCTGGGCGGGCTACGCACAGCTTTAATTAGGGAGACAGGGCACAGGAAGGCGGGGCCTCAGGCGGCCGGAGTAGGCGAGGCCCTGGGGTGCAGGCGGTGCCGAAGTGGATGTGCAGGAGCAGGTGCGCCGCGGATTGGCACCGGGGGCGAAGTCCCGGAGGGTGGAGGAGAAGGTGTTGCCGTCGACGGCGCATCACGAACACCAGCCTCAAGCGCTGCGGAGGGGGACGTGCCATTTGCCCAGGTCGACGCCCAGGAAGAAGAGGAGCACCGCGAAGGCCCACACACACACAAACACACACACACACGCACACACACACACACACACACACACACACACACACACACACACACGCCTCCAGCATACAGTGTTTCCAGGTTTTGCTCAGATTGGCGTGGTTCCAGACCAAGCACACTAGTTGAAACATGCCATTGGCTTGACCAAACCTTCGTGTGAGCTCGACGCAGGGCTTCCCGTCGACGCTTAGCAGCCCCCCCCAAGTGAACCGCGCTATCTTGGCACCGCTTTGATTCACCATCCGGTCCAAGAGTATTTGCGTGCGAACGTACGTGCAACAAAACAGTCTTCGCCCAGTTCAACTCCAGCCCGTCACTTCTTCCAGCTGCAACCGCCAAATTCAATTGTGTTTGGAGCGCGTCGGGGCCCCTGAAGACCAGCATGGTGCCGTCTGCGTACAACACGTCTTCGGAGACGAGGTACGGTTGGGTAGCCCGGCGTACGTTTTCCTCTGCGACGCGCTTGTCTAAACATGAAGACAAAACCGGCATAACGATGATAAACAAATACGGCGATAGCGGACACCCTTGTGCGATTCCAGCGGACTGTCTTCTCTGCGATGATGTCGTGCCTCCGTATTGAACAACGAACTTGCGTATTCTATAAGTGCCTTTGATCATCTCGACCATTGCCGGAGGAACGAAATTGCTGTAGTGCTTGGACAAGTCCTTTGGGGCTGGTGCGGTCGAGAGCCTTACTCCAGTCCACACGTAATAGCAATAGCTTGCCCTCCTTGTGCTCGATTGTGGCGTCGATCAGCCGGCAAGACTAACACTTCGCTTGTCGGCTGAGCCTCAAGCCATATTGAGACTCCCTGAGTGCTTCTTCGGCGCCCCCTAGATTCAGTCTTCTTGACAAGATGCTCGCAAACATCTTGTACCCCACTGTGAGCAAAGAGATGGGGCGATAAGTGGACAGATGGGATGTGTCTCCCTTTATGAAAACTGATGCAATGGATGCTTAGTTACCCATTATTCTGGGATGTCTCAGCTGCCCCAAACAGATATTACATAATGATGTTAATATGTCCACGGCGTCCGCAAAGATTTCCATAGTTCAGGTGGCACTCCATCGCTTCCAGAAGCTCGCTATGTACCAAGATGTCTCAATGCTTCTCGTACCTCTGCCGGAGTGATCTGTCCCCCCTCAACGTTGTGATATCCTTCTCGATGTGATTGTTCTGGGATCGGGGTGTCTTGTCTCCAAATAGTCTGCCATGGTAGCTGCCCGCCGAGAAGCATCTACCAATTCACCTTGAGCATCCCGGAGCCGCCCGCATTTGGTGGCAGCATTTTTCCGTAATGACCGGATCGCTTCCCAACCATTCGTTGCAATGCTTTCTGTGAGCCATTGCTTCCGGTCTGCCTTGGAGGATGTGTTGATATTCTTGTTGAGGCTCTTCTCTGTGGCGCTGTGAACCACCTGCCAAGTCAGTCGCGTCTTGTTCCGCTCCTCGATCAAGTAGAGCGTGCTGTCCGAAAGCCACGGACGTAGTCGTTGTGTGGCTCGAGTTAAGATGCACGCAGAGGCCGCTTGCAGCATACACCTTGATATTGCGGATGCGCAATCTTCAAATGAGGGGGGGGGCGCCATGCGGTCGTTGCTGCCGTTCTCACAAGAAATTGTACACATACTTGTCTGTGGCGTTCTTGTTTAGCAGCGCCTTCACGTCGAGCTGGCCCCTCTTTTGCTTACATTCTGCTTTCGGAATTGAAGTGTTGAGGCCGACTATCTGCACAAAGCGGTGCGATTGGAGCGGCAAATTCCCATCACTCCAAATATCAGAAATAGATGAGAAGCACTTGTTATTGATGATGGCGCGATCAAGCTGTTCAGATTTCCTGGGCAAGATATCGCTTGATGAATCCACGCCTATATTGTGGTACGTAACGGTATGCTCGCCGCTATGCTGACAATACGTGGATCCCCCTTGTGGGGCCTGAAAAGCGTTGCAGGAAAGAGCGAAATGTGCGTAGCTGTGGCATGCGGACTTTTGCAGCAGGGGCGAGCGAAATGGGCGCGGAGGAGCCATACGGCCTTAGCCACTTGGGCCTTCGGTGGTTCCAATGGGGCCGCGAAATCTGGCAGAGGCGAGCGACATGTGTGCGGCGGTGGCACGCGGACTTTGCCATGCGGGCCTTCGGTGGAGCTCACTAGGAGGCCTGAAAAGGTAACAAGGACGAGCGAAATGGGCGCGGCGGTGGCACTCGGACTTTGCAATCTGACCTTCGGTGGAGCTCCCCACGGGGCCACGAACCATGTATTGGGTGAGCCGAATGAACGGGGACCCCCCGTGCGCTCGGGCCCACTGCGACCGCAGGTGGAGCTCCATACAGGATCACGAAACGAGTGAGGGGTGTGACAAAATGAGCACGGACTCCATGTGCGGTCGGGCTCACTGGGACCGTAGGTGGAGCTCACTGTGGGGCCACGAACCGTGCGGAGGGTGTGCCAACATGCCCCCCCCCCACGCGGTGGGGCCCACTGAGACCGTAGGTGGAGCTCCCCATGGTGACACGAAGCATGTGAGAAGCGTGCCGAAGCAGAGACACGCAGAGGGCAGAGCCAGGAGGGAGGAGGGGGCATCGGGTGGGAGTGGAGTGCGGCGCTGCTGGTTCAAAACAAAGACCCAACCCCATATGGCGGTTGGGAATTGTCCTGGAGAATGGCCCAACCACGTTAAGCTGGGAGCACCGTTAAGCACGCGGGAAGAAGGATGGGGCGAGCATCATGACAGACTGCGGCGCAGATCCTGGCAGGGCGGCGCCATGCGAACGCCGCCGCTGGGGACTTCTGTGGGCTCTCGGTGCAGCCCTCGGAGGAGCCACGAAACGCGTGAGGGACGTGCCGAGTTGGGAACGGATACGCCATGCGAGCCCCGCTGCTGGGGCGTTCACTAAAGCTCCCAATGGCGCCGCAAAACGTGTGAGGGGTGCGCCGACAGGAGGCGGCGGCGCCATGCGTCCCTTGGCATGTGGGCCTTAGTTGGAGCCCCCATATGGAGACCCGGAACGTGTGAGGGGCGTGCCGAAATCGACATGCGGAAAACAGTGGCAAAAGAGAGAGAGGTTGTAGAGAAAGAGGTGAGGTTCTTTGCTGTCTCTTCAAAACGAAGACACAACACCACAGGAAGGTTGGGAATGAAAGACAGTCCAGTCTTAGCCTGGACCGACCGCCCACAATTTACCCCTCTCTGGAGTCAAAAGTCGTCCAGAGCCAGAAAGCGGCTTCCGTCTGGAAATTGGCTTGGACTCTCTGCCCACAGAGCTCTGGCGCGAGACGAAGAGATGCTCGGCAAAGTTCGCTGGCCCCGCGCCCCCTGGAGGATGAGAAGGAGGGGGATGTGGATACCATCCGACGTCGAGAGCGGTTAACAACGTGAACGGTATTTCATCATGGGTCGCGTCCTGATGGTCTCCGGGCTGGGTGAGGGTCCCAAAGGCCGAAGATGGTCGAACATCTTCCGCTTTGTTGTTTTGCTCGGCACGAGGAAGAAGTGGTCCCCCTCTCCCTAGGTGGCTTTCGTGCCATAACTCGGGTCCCCGGCGGGCGTCCAGGGCGACTCGGGCGGCACCCCCAGACAACTCTCGGCGAGACGCGGCTGCTGACAAGCACCCCGAAAGCGCACTTACAAGAGTAGCCCAACCCCTCTCTCCTGCGCGTGAACATCAACATCGTACCCTGCGGGTGCAAGATGTGCCCCCTGGAACCCCCATCTTAATGTCAGCGACGTATCGGTGAAGGGGGCTCGAGTGCACAAAGATACTCGTGCCCCACGGTCGCCACCTGAATTTGGATCAATATTGGTGATGGTGGGTGGGAGCGTATCAGTATCCCACTCAGGTTTGCAAGGGTACAAAATCTTGGTCAATCTACTGTCCCCCTCCTGGTCATCCTCCTGCTCCTCATCATCATCATCATCATCATCATCATCATCACCACCACCACCATCATCATAATCATCAGCATCACCACCACCCCCACCATCATCATCACCAACACCATCATCATAATCATCAGCATCACCACCACCCCCACCATCATCACCACCACCACCATCACCATCATCACCACCACCACCGTCATCATCATTATCATCACTACCACCACCACCATGATCATCAGCATCATCACCATCATCAACATCAGCATCATCCTCATCATCAACAACATCATCATCACCATCAACACCATCATCATCATAATCATTGGGCCATTACGCGGGCCTCTGGCGGCCGTTCGGAACGCCCTCGCCCAACCGACACCAATGAAAGACACTGGCATGACAGACAACGCCGTGAAGACATGCGATAAAGCAGTAACAGATGCGGGCAATGCATCGAAGTGTCTACACCATAGGGAGGGAAGGCATGCACGAAGGGCTGAAATCAAACTCCATGACGCCATCGGCAAAGCGCAGCTGCTGGAAGTCATCCCGAGGCTGGGAAAAAAAAAAAACACCGCGACCGGACGTAACGCCCGAAAGCCTCTGACCTCGAGCCTGTCGTCCCCCCCTGAACCTCTCCCCGTATCGCTGCCGCTGAATGGGAAAACGAAAAGGTACCGCGTTACCGCTACTCCCCAGACCTCTCCCCGGGTGCGCTCTGACCAAAGTTCGGAGCTGATCCAGAGGCGGCGACGAGGGCATCCCGGGAGGCCCGAGAAGGGGAAAAAACGAGGGAAGGGCAGCGGAAGATGGGTATAGCCCTGACTCCTCTGACTGACACCCCCGATCGTTGCCTTTCCGCCCCCGAAGCTTCTGGAGCGGAGGAGGAGGAGGAGGAGGAGGAGGAGGAGGAGGAGGAGGAGGACGAGGCGGAGGAGGAGGAGGAGGAGGAGGAAGAGGAGGAGGAGGAGGAGGAGGCGGAGGGAAGAAGGAGGAGGAGGAGGAGGAAGAGGAGCCCCCCAATCGCCGGGCGGCGCCCACTCGGTCTCGCCGCCCCCGCGCTGGCCCGCGGGCGGCTGCGCGCCGCGCGAGAGGTGCGCCCAGCCCCGCGGGGCCCCCTCCGGGGCGCTCGGGGCGCCGTGGCGGGCCGCCGCCCTGCCCTGCTCGAGCCACCTCGGCCGGGGGGCTCCTTCTTTTCCTTCTCCTTCTCCTCCTCCTCCTCCCTCCTCCTCCCTCCTCCTCCTCCTCCTCCTCCTCCTTCCTCTCCTCTCCTCCTCCCCCTCCCCTCCCTCCTCCTCCTCCTCCTCCTCCTTCTTCTTCTTCTTCTTCTCTTATTCTTTTTTGATTATTCTTCTCTTTCTTATTATTATTTCTCTTCTTCTTTTCTTCTTTCTTTCTTTATTATTATTATTATTCTTCTTCTTCTTCTTCTCTTCCTCCTCCTCCTCCTCCTCCTCCTCCTCCTCCTCCTCCTCCTCCTCCTCCTCCTCCTTTCGCTCGAGGGCGGAGCCCCCGGGGCCCCCCGGGCCTCGCGAGGGGCTTTCTGGAGGCCGCGGGGGGCCTCCTTATGGAGGTGCTGGGGGCGCCCTGGGACTCGCGAGGGGCGCGGGGGGGCTCCTTGGAGGTGCTGGGGGCACCCTGGGCCCAGGGGCGCTTCTGGCAGCACCCGGCTTCTGCCCGTCCCCAGGGGTGCTCTTCCTCGCTCGCGGCCTCGGGGGGAGCCCGTGGTTCGGGCCCCCCGGGGCCCTCAAAAGCGGATCCGTGGCGAGAGACTGGCCCCTGGGAAGGGGTCGGGGCGTGGGTCGATGCGTCCCCCCCTGTGAGCCCACGGCCACCGTGCCACCACAAGGAGTGCACAAGAGGGAGCGAAGGGGCTCGTCTGGCCACGGCGAGCCCAGGCCGCAAACAGGCTCCACGGCACGAGTCTGAGGAACGGCCCGGAAGCCCAACGCCCCTCCGGAGCCCAACGCGGTCCATGTTTCAGCGTCGTGGCTGCACCTCCCCCCTGACGCTGCCCCTGAGGGGCGTGCCGCAGAGTCCGAGGCCGTCCCTGCTTCCCATCGGCGGCGCGCCTGGGGGGGGAGCGAGAGAGGGCGGGCCTTCTCAGAAGGCGGCGGGCCTTCTCAAAGGCCCTCTGGCCTTCTGAGAAGCCGCAACTGCCTTCGGAGAAGGCTTAGAGAACTCCTCGGAAGGCCCGAAGCCTTGCGAGCCTTCCGAGGAGGCCCGCCCCCCCCCGCTGCCTCCCCCCTGGGGCTCGCCGCCGAGTCTGGTTTTCGGGGTCATAACTCGGGCCTCTGACGGCCGTTCGGGACGATGCGGGCACTCCCAGAACGCCCTCGGCGAGGCGCAGCCGCTGGAAGGCACCCCGAGGCTGGAAAACAGCTGGGAAGCCACGAAAACGTTCGAAAGCCTCGAACCTCGAACCTCGAGCGCCAACTGAAATCCCCGACCGCCGCTGCAGTGCTCCGATCGCGGCGGCGCGATCCCCAGAGCTCAGCGCGAGCTGCGCGGCGGTGAACACGTAGGCGGTTCGGTGGCAACTCTTGGGAGCCTCCCGTACCAGCTTGTTGGCTCTTTCGAATCGACGCTAGTCGACGCTTCTCGACGCTCATCGACGCTAGATCGACGCTAACAGACGCGAATCGATGCTGAGTCGGCGCTATATCATCGACACCTGGACGCTAGTCAACGCTGATGCACTCTCAACACAGAATTACAAAGGGTGGAGGGGGGGCACAACCCTCCCAGACGAGCAATATCAGACCCCCAAAACCAGCAATGAAAGGGCGGCCTTCTGCCCAGCCCTCCCCGAACAATCAAAGACAGCTCAAATCAGACGCCCGCCAATGTAGCCTCTCCACCCCGGGTGGGACATCCCTCCCTGGGAGAAGCTTTCGGCTCCAGAGCGCCAGCGTCGTCGTCGTCGTCGTCATCGCCGCCGCCGCCATCGTCGCCGTCCCCCTGCATGGTCGGCGGCACCGGCCGTAAGGCCTTCGCAACACGAGGCTCAAAGAGATTGGGCAGCTCCTGTTCCTCAACTGTCACAGCGATTCCGATCTAGTGAACAGCGAGGTCCCCTTGCCAGAGAACACTGGGCTTTACTGAAGGGGAACTGAGACACACAAATAAATACACACAAATAAACATATCCCCCATATTTTCCCATATTTTCTGGGTTTTTGTCTTCCCCCTCACTTCCCATATGTTCCCATATGTTCTGGGAATCGACGATTAATTGTGTCTGTGTGTTTTTCCCCCTCCTGATTTACATGGGCTCAGCTCTCCGCGCTCCAAAATCTCAAGACGGAGTTACAAGGGAAGACCGGAGAAGCGAGGCCCGCTCCTCCGCGGACCTGTCCCGGGGTGCGTTCTGACCAGAACTTCGAAGCGAATGCAGCCGTGGCGGCGAGGGCCTCCCAGGAGGCCCAAAAAGGCGAGAACGAAAGAAGGACAGCGAGATACGGGTAGCTTCTCCTCCTCTGACCTACAGGTGCAACGTCGACCCCCAGAGGTCTCGACTCGTTCCCTGGGACCATTTTGTCATCCCAGGTCGCTTTCTGACGGTCCCGAGGCCTGGTGAGGGCCCCCTGTCTTGATTTTTGTCACTACTCGAGGCCCCCGCGACTTGCCACCGAACGTAGGCGGCGCTGGCGAGGCCCACCGCCAGGTCGGGGTGGGACAGCCGGGCCTCCTCCCGCGCCTGGGCGGCGGCCGCCGCCGGGGACCCGCGCGCCGCGCCCAGGGCCGCCAGGGGCATGCACCTCGGCGAAGCCGCAGGTGGCGGCAGGGATGCCCCAGGCCCTAAGCTCACCAGGGGCTGCCCTACAGGGCCCAGGCTAGGGCCTACAAGACTTGTCTTCGGTGCTTTCGCGGTCGTCGCTACTTCGATGCAAGCTTGAGGTGTTCAGCCCGCACGCAGGGGTGTCCAGAATCCGGAAGTGCCCTCACAGCAGTGAGGAGCGCGTTTTCTGACAAGTGCCCGAATTAGCGCTTCGATTTTGAACGGCGTCTCGAATTAACGAGGCGTGTAGGGTAGCCCAGACCTCGAGGTTCATACGTGTGTATGCATAAATACATGTATTTATTTCCACTCTGCTGCGCCAGTCTTGGCTGCATCACACCTCACGCTACCGATCTGCCAGGAGGAACATATTTCGTGCAAGGGCCTTCAATGAGAATACGCCCAACAAGGATTAGAGTCTTGAAGCTCTACGGTGCCGGGGAACGTTGATTGGAACTTCCGCAAGAGGCTCTGGGAGCCGAGTTGGCGGGAGGAGAGGAGGAGGAAGAGAGCGCGGGTTACAGCCAAAATGCCTAAAGCCTCAGTGATCAGGGCGTCCTCAGCTTCCGGGGCGGCTGCGAGACCATAGGCAACTATGTCGTGAGGCGGGTGGGCGCATCTTATGATCCACCCCGAAGCCCCAGAGGAAGATTTACTTCGAAACCCCCCGTCCGACCAACAAAGACAATTCGAATGTAAAAACTCGGAGGCCCTGGGATTAATGTACACCCCCTGCAACTCAGGAAAATCTAAACACAAATTCGCTAACCGGTCAGCCTCTACGTTTTTGTCCCTGGGTCTCCACTCGATCGGGTCCCCCCAGTCCTGCGCTGGACGGTGGCCTAAGCAAACCAACGAGGCCAGCAACTCCGACTGGGACCGCAAAACGTCGGCGCACCTGTCCATCTTCGCCTTTCCGAGTGCCGCGTCCGCCACGACCTCCGGGTCGACTATGATTTTGAACCGGTTGAATTCAGAAGAAGGCCCCCACACCAAATCACTGTCCAGGATCACGGGCGATAGGTCGTAGAACACCTGCGAACCCCGATCGTAGAAGGGAAGGCGACATCACGTATGTTATAGAACCCTCAGGCTAGGCCTACTCCGAGGGCCTACCCCTCGGCCTACCCTAGGCCTACCCCTACGCCCTGCCCCTAAGCCTAGCCCTGCCCCCTACCCCTACGCCCTGCCCCAGGAGTTACGCCGCGAAAGTCGAAACACAGACAACCGCCGACGGATTTTGTCTGTACCTTCAGAGAGGATAGCGGTGTGTAGAATGACTCGCTGTCAGCAGTGGTTTGCACACCGCCACTCTGCCCTGAGGCCCAGGAACAATCCATTGAAGGGTGTCAGTGTGTATATGTTTATGGCGGAGGAGCTTCGAACCCAGACCCCCTCGGGTCATGAAATAAAAACCTCGGGGGGTGTTTCGCTGTACTCGTCGTCTCTGTCCTTCCCTTTCCCTGGGACTCCTCTTCCCCTGGGCTCCAGCCAAGCCGACCTTGAGCAACCTCGTAATTGAGTCGAAGGGAAGCCCCTTCCCTTTGATCCCTCCCCCGCCGGGAGGGGGGGGGGGGTAGCGACCCCCCCCCCGGGTCAGATACGACGCCCCCCCCTGGGACTCCTCTTCCCCTGGGCTCCAGCCAAGCCGACCTTGAGCAACCTCGTAATTGAGTCGAAGGGAAGCCCCTTCCCTTTGATCCCTCCCCCGCCGGGAGCCCCTCAGATACGACGCCCCCCCTGGGAGGGAGCAACCTCCCCCCTTCCCTTTGATCCCTCCCCCGCCGGGAGGGGGGGGGGGGGTAGCGACCCCCCCCCCGGGTCAGATACGACGCCCCCCCCTGGGACTCCTCTTCCCCTGGGCTCCAGCCAAGCCGACCTTGAGCAACCTCGTAATTGAGTCGAAGGGAAGCCCCTTCCCTTTGAGCCAAGCCGACCTTACGACCCCCCCCCTGGGACTCCTCTTCCCCTGGGCTCCAGCCAAGCCGACCTTGAGCAACCTCGTAATTGAGTCGAAGGGAAGCCCCTTCCCTTTGATCCCTCCCCCGCCGGGAGGCGAGGGGGGGGTAGCGGGGGGCGGTAGCGACCCCCCCCCCAGGTCAGATACGACGCCCCCCCCCCGTACCGACCTTGAGCAACGTCGTAATTGAGTCGAAGGGAAGCCCCTTCCCTTTCCCTTCCCCGCCGGGGGAGGGAGAGGGGGTCCCGGGGGGGGTCCCGGGGGAGTCCCGGGGAAGTCCCGGGTCAGATACGACACCTCCCTCCCCCACCTTCTCGTCCTTCTCCCCGTTCCCCAAAACCATCCCACAGCCCGTGCCTCTTGCTGCGCATTGCGAACAGGGTCGGCGGCACCGGCCGTCAGGCCTTCGCAATAAAAACCTCGGTGGGTGTTTCGCTGTTATCAGCATCCGGGGGGCCTCGCCAAGCCTCGGGAAAAGAAGAAAACGACAGGAGACGGAAAACCGGTCCCAGGGAATGGGTCGAGACGTCTGCGGGTCAACGTAATGAACAAATCATGACGTCGGAGGTCTGAGAATCGAGCCTTCGGATCGAAGCTGAATGTAGATTGGATCGGGCCGCATCGGCACGGAGTCGGACCTCGAATCGGATCGGCCGCGCGAGGGCGCACAACAGCGACATGACTTCGTCGGGCCGAATCGGATCGACGGAAAGTCGGAATCGAATCGGGTCGGGCCAGCTGGAATCAGTATCAAATCGGATCGGTCGGGTCGGGGTGGCCCCTGGACCGGTTCTTAGAGCATTTGTTTCTGTTTGATCGGCGGCGTCGCGGATCCGAGGTGCGGGCGGGCTACGCTGGGACACAGGCGGAGCTGCTGCGGCACAGGGGGGGGGAACAGGAGGCTTGGGCAGAAGGAGGAGGAGCAGCAGCAGCAGCAGGAACAGGCGGAGGAGGAGGAGGAAGAGGAGGAGGCAAGAGGAGAAGGAGGGTCCCGGGTCAAGCCTTGTTTAACACGTTGATAATAATACGCATCAAGAACCTTTGCTGGGTCACAAAATCTTTCTGGTACCCAAGGCGCGATCCGTGTGACGGGTGTGCCAAATTTGGCAAAAAGACGCCGGCTACCCCTGCAACCGGGGAGCCAACCATCGGCTACACGCAAGAGTGACCCTAGGTCACAGTTACCTTTGGTGCGCAGACCACGGGGGCGCAAGGTGGCCAAATCCAAGCGCGCAAGCAGCCTCGATCGCAGACCTGGGGGACCCCGATGAGCCCGCAACAAAAGTTACTCCGGCGAAGGGTCACTCTTACGCGTAGTCGAAAGCAGCCAGCCAACCAACCAGCCAAACAAACAGCCCTTCCCGGTGAAATTTGTAAGGATGTCCCACACCACTGGGCCCAGATTGCCCAGTCAGAGATCTCTGACTTCGAATGACCGCGGGGCAGGGAAAGGAGCAGTGTGACGAAGTGAAACGAAATGGATTGGAATAGACGGAATGGAACGGAAGGGAGCAAGGAATGGAATGGAATGGAATTGAAGGGAACGGAACGGAACGGAACGGAGTGGAGTGGAGTGGAGTGGCATGGAATGGGATGGAATGGGATGGAACATAATGGAATGGAATGGAATGGAATGGAATGGAATGGAATGGAATGGAATGGAATGGAGTGGAATGGAATGGAATGGAATGGAATGGAATGGAATGGAATGGAATGGAATGGAATGGAATGGAATGGAGGCGCACGCGGAGGGGCGAGTGGGCGGGCGGGCGAGCGAGCGAGCGTGCAGACGTACGAGCGGGCGCACTGTGTTGCGTTACATCGCATCGCATCGCATCGCATTGCATTGCATTGCATTGCATGGCATTGCATGGCATTGCATGGCATGGCATTGCTTTGCTTTGCATTGCTTTCCGATGCTTTGCGTTGCGTTGCATTGCATTGCACCGTGTTGCATTTGCATTACATGTGCCGTACATTGCATTGCAATCAATTGTGTGGGGGGGAGGAGGGGAGGAAGAGGGAGGAGGAGGGAGGAGGGAGGAGGGGATGTAGAGGAGGTAGGACGAGCAGTAGCACGCTGCATTGCAGTGAGGAGAGATGGGGGAGGGGGGGAGGGGGAGGAGGAAAGAAGGAGAAGGGAGGAGGGAGGATGGAGCGAGGAGGAAGGAACAGAGATGGAGAAGGATTGGATTGGATTGGATTGCATGGCATCGCATTGCATCGCATTGCATCGCATTGCATCGCATTGCATTGCATTGCATTACAATGCGTTGCGTTGCGCTGCATTGCTGCTGCATGCGCTGCGTTGTATTTGCATTGCATTTGCTTTTTCAGTACACTGCATTGCAGTACATCGCGGGCGAGGGGGAGGACGACAGAAGGGAGGAGAAGGGAAGAGCGCAGAGGGGGAGGAAGGAGAAGGAGGAGTGATGAGGGAGGAGAAGGGAGGAGGGGAGGGGGAGGAGGGAGAAAGGGGGAGGAAGGAGGGAGGAGGATGGAGGATGGAGGAGGGAGGGAGGGGGAAGAAGGACGAGGAGGATAGGATCGAATTTTTGATCGCCTCCCTGGCCCTCGTCATCGTCCTCGTCATCGTCGTCGTTCTCGTCACGTCGTCGTCCCCGCCGTCGTCGTGGCATCATGTTTTTCGTCGGCCCCGCGGCGCTGCCACGTGACGACTGGAACGGAACACTGTGTCTTCATGCCTCCAGGCGTTGCCACGCGGCGAGTGGAGTGGCGAGGAGGAGGAGGGGGAGGAGGAGGAGGAGGAGGAGGAGGAGGAGGAGGAGGAGGAGGAGGAGGACGAGGACGTGGCACCGAGTCGAGTGGAACAGGCTTCTGTTCCGGGCCCCCACGGCGCTGCCACGTGACAGGCGGACTGGATGGCATACCGGTTCTTCGCACCCCCAGGCGTTCGTTGCCATGTGGCGCGTGGAGCGGCTCCTCCTCCTCCTCCTCCTCCTCCTCCTCCTCCTCCTCCTCCTCCTCCTCCTCCTCCTCCTCCTCCTCCGGCTTAGCATTTCTGTTTCCCCCCGCTGCGTTGCCACGTGAAGGATAGTCGAATAGTATGTGTCGGTCCGCCCCAGGCGCGTGGAATGGTGTTTTGTGCGGCCCCCTGCGGCGTTGCCACGCAACGAGTAGAGCGGAATAGCATGTTGTCGCCCGTCGACTCGTTGCCACATGGCGGCCACCCCAACCAACCAACCAACCTACCGACCGACCAGCTACCAGCCAACCAGCCGGCCAAAAAACGATCCCGTTTCGTTGCATTGCATTGCACTGCGATGCATGTGCATTGCGCAGTGCATGTGCAGTGCATTGCATTGTAATGAATTGCGGGCAAGGGGGAGGACAGGAGGGAGGAGAAGGGAGCAAGGTAGAGAGGAGGGGAGGAAGGAGGAGGGAGGAGGGAGGAGGGAGGAGGGGGGGACGAGGGGAGGGGGAGGAGGAAGGGAGAGGAAGCGAGGAGTAGGGAGGATGGAGGAGGGAGAGAGAAAGGGGGAGGGAGAAGGACCAGGAGGAGGAGAGGATAGAATTTTGCTCGCCTACCTGGCCCTCGTCATCGTCGTCAGTGTCGTCGTCGTCGACGGTACTTTCGTCGTCCTCGCTGTCGTCCTCGTGGCATAATGTTTGTTTCGGCCCCAGCGCTGCTGCCACGTGACGACTAGAATGGAACACTATTTCTTCGCGCCTACATGCGTTGCCACGTGGCGAGTGGAATGGCACTTGTTGTCGGCCCCGCCTCGTTGCCACGCGACGAATAGAGCGGAATTGTTTTTGTTGCTCCGACCCCCACCACGCTGCCACGTGACAAGTAGAGTTGATGGAATAGTGTTTCTTCGCGCCTTCAGGCGTTGCCGCGTGGCAAGTGAAGCGGGTGTATCTTTTTCGGGCCCCCAGCGGCGTTGCCACGTGACGAATATAGTGGAGTAGTAATGTATCCATCCCCTCCAGGCGGTACCACGTGGCGAATAGAGTGGAAGTGCATTTGTCTCAGCACCGGCGGCGCTGCCACGTGACGAGTACAATGGAATAGTAATTTGTCGCCCGCCAAAGCGTTGCCACATGGCGAGTGGAGTGGGACAGTATTTTGTTTCGGCCCCACGGCGCTGCCACGTGACGTTGCATTGCATTGCATTGCATTGCATTGCATTGCATTGCATTGCATTGCATTGAATTGCATTGCATCTTGTTGCATTGCATTGCGGTGCACTTGCATCGCGTTGTATTGCGTTGCATTGTATTGCATTGCATTGCATTGCACCGCATTGCATTGTATTATGTTGCGTTGCATGTTTTTGCGCTACGGTGTAGTTGCACTGCAGTTGCAATAAACTGTATTACAGGAAACTGCGGGCGAGGGGGAGTACGAGGAGGACAGGGAGGGAGGAGAAGGGAGGAAGATACAGAGAAGAGGGCAGCAGAAGGATGAGCGAGGAGGGAGGAAGGGGAAGGAGGGGAGGGGGAGTGGAGGGGAGAACCGGCCAACCACCTGGGCAAGCGGGCAACCGGCCACCCAGCCACCCAGCCAACCAACCGACCAACGACCAGCCAACCAAACGGCCAACCGCCGAAGAAACCGCCCACCAACAAACCAGCCAGCCAGACAGCCAGCCAACCAACCTACCAACCAACCAACCAACGATCCACCCCATCGCCTGGGAAAACAAAAAATGACTCGGAAACCAATGAGCCGACCAGCCAGCCAACCAGCCAACAGACCCACCAACCAACCAACCAACCGACCATCCAAGCAATCACAAACCAACCCACTCACCAACCCACCAACCAATCGCCGCCCAGCCAACCAACCAACCAACCAACCCGAGATAAAAAAGCGTGTCCCCGAATCCGGCGAGCCAAGCAGCCAACCAACCCACGAAAAGACCAGTCCTTCCCAAATGATTGCTGGAGGATGTTCCACGCCGCGGAGCCGTGACAGATTTTTGTGATCTGGACCAAGTGTTCTTGACCCTGCAGAAGAAATGGCCCTGAAAGAAAGAAGCTGTTCACCAGTCCTCCCGAGAATGGGGACGAGGAGGAGGAGCAGCATGAGGAGGAGGGGGCAAGAGGAGCAGGAGGAGGCGACCGCGCGCGGCCGGGGGGGGGCTCAGAGCCTACAGTTCATCGCGATGTTGGTCGTACAGTAGACACATACAATAAGAAGCCTTGCCGCGAAGCACTCCGCCCAGCATTGAGGAAAAGTGAAGGGGGGGCCGGATGGAGACGAGGTGGAGGAGAACACGGAGCTGCGAAGGCGTTTCTTCAGGCAGTCCGCCTCCCCAGCGCGCTCTCCCGCCGCGCCATCCCCGCACCCCGCCCCTACTCCAGCCACGCGAGCGCGCGTAATTGCCTGCGGACTTCACGTGGGGCACATGCTGGCAGGCCGATTTCTTCCTTGATGTGCCTACTGTACGTTGTGACCGTCATCGCCGTCACGTCGCCGTAGTCGTCATCGTCGTCACGTCGCCGTAGTCGTCATCGGCGTCGGCGTCGTCGTCGTCGGCGTCGGCGTCGTCGTCGTCGGCGTCGGCGTTGGGATTTTCGCACTTCGACTGGAAGGAGGCGGGTAAGGGTCGGTGGCTCGTCGAGCTCGGCGGGCTGCTCGGGAAGGCCTTCACGGTGTGAGGAGCTGCGGGCTATAGGCCTCGGGGGGGTGGCTGTGCTCGGGGGGTTCGTTCTTTCAGCGGGCCTCCTCTCGGCCCCTCCTGGGTGTCTGGGGCCCCGTGGGCCCACCTGTCCGCTCCGCTGAAAGGCCCTAGGGTGCAGCTATCCCCCTGGGGCGCGGGCGGCATCATGCTCTGCGGAGAGGGGGCCCTGCCCCGTGTAGTCAGCACGTCAGCACGTCGGCGTCGGCGTCGTCGTCATCGTCGTCGGCGTCGTCGTCGTCGTCGTCGTCGGCGTCGTCGACGGCGTCGGGCGTCGGGCGTCGGGCGTCGTGCGTCGGGCGTCGGGCGTCGGGCGTCGGGCGTCGGGCGTCGGCGTCGGCGTCGGCGTCGGCTGGCGTCGTCCGACGTCGCGCGAAAAAACGCGACGCCGCGCGACGCCACGACCAGAGCCCTGTGCACCCTGCGAAATGCTTAAGAAATCATGGGTTAAGAAATTCATAGTCTCAGAACTTCAAGAAAGACCCAACATTTCCATTAAAATCTTAGGATTTACATTGAAACGTTAAGAATAATCGAGACTCTGGCCGAAAACTTGGGTTTTCTTAAGCATCGCCTAAGGTGTACCCGACCTCTGCGCTGCACTTCTCGCGCAGGATCGGCCCGTGCGGGCCCCCTTGGCCCGAGAGGGGGCGACAGCGCCCGGTGCGGAACACAAATGCGGCGGCCAGGAGACCAGGGGCTGCCAGGAAGGGGCTGGGCCCCCGCCCGCCTCGAGCCCCCGAGGAGGCCCCGAGGCCCTGCGCTGCGGTCGGGCGAGGAGGCTTCCCGCTGAGCCCGCCGCCGCGCCAGCGCTCCGCCTCCCGTCGCCTTCTGGTTCACGTCCCGCGCGCGTTCCACCAGTTCCTGCCGCAGGGGCAGCAAGCGACACCACCACATCCGGGACATTCCCCGGGGGGATGCTTTTGCGCATGCCACAAAGCTGTCGGGGCACCGAAACCAGCCTTGTACTGGTTGTGGTCGATGTGGCGTCCCAAGACGGCCAAGCCGAGCACAACCACAACCAAGGTGCTGGGTTCTCCCCCGAGGGGCCCTCAAAACAAATCAACTGAGTTGTGTTTGTGGCTCTTTGTTGTGCCCTAACCTGCGCGCTCAGCGGCCTCTGGAAGGCCTGACTGCAGGCGCGCTCGCTGCGGAAAGGCGCCGACCTGCCCCACCTGTGGGAGACTGAAAGTCCACGGGGTGTCCCCCTCGGATGGGTGAAGACGCCTCGTGCCCCAGACCCCAACCAAACCCGAAATGACCATTGGCCTGCCAATTTCCAGTGGGGGCCGTTCCGGAGCATCGAGGAAGCACGATGGAACTCGTACACACCAGAACCTGACATGTGGGGGGGTCTGGGTCCTTCGAGTTGGGATGCGGTGGTATGGGAAGTAATGAAAAGAGGCATTGCCTCACTGGCCCCCCCCCCGTGTTGGGCTACCACTCCAGCCTGCCCCGCGGACTTTCTGCGTCGCTCTGACCCAGCAGGTCCACGTCGCGGGGAGCACGCCCAAAACACAAACGACCCACGCTCACATCACCCCGCTGGCCCCAGCCTCCTGTGGGCGCACCATGGGCTCTCACCCGCAGAGAAAAACGCAATCAAAAAGGAACCTGTTTTTTATGTTCCCCGACAGCGGCCGTCGCCGGCCACGGCCCCCCCCGCCCCCCACAGGGGACGTCACGTGCTGCGGCGGCGGTGTCCCGGAATGTCCAGTGATGGCCGAGGCCAAGTAGGAGCAGCATGTAGGTGGCGATCTGCACAGCAGCGCCTGTGGCAGCGTCTCTGTACACTGCAACAGCAGTGTGCAACGCAGCGCCTGTGCACACCACAGTGGTTGCGTGCACCACAGCGCCTGTGTACACAGCGAAGATGTCCACCGCAGCAGCCGTCCGCAACACAGCGCCTGTCTACACCACAATGCTTGCGTGCACCGCAGCGCCTGTACGGGCTGCGCCGCGCCCTGCACGGGCTTCGCCGATCCGTCGGGTGACGTGCTCCCGGCGCCTCGTGTTGAACGTATCGAGCGGGCGAGCCATCGATGCCACCAGCCAGGCCGCGCAGACCGCCAGCAGGCATCCCGACTGGCGACGGAGCCTAAATGGAGCAGGACCGCAGGATTCGCCGTAGAATTGGTCAGTCATGAGCTCGAGTGGCTTCTGGTAGACGGGACTCGCGACGGGGTGGGGAAAAGTGAGAGGTGGGAGGAAATGGGAGGTGGGAAGAAATAAGAGAAGGTGGGAGGACTCGGAAGGAGGTGGGAGGCGGTGGGGGGAGGTGGGAGGATGTGAGAGTAGGCGGGAGGATGTGGGGGAAGACGGGAGGACTCGGGTGAACATGGGAGGAGGTGGGAGGAGGTGGGGGGACTCGGAAGGAGGTGGGGGGAGGTGAGAGGATGTGAGAGTAGGTGGGAGGACGCGGGAGGAGGTGCGAGGACTCAGGGGGGACGTGGGAGGAGGTGGGAGGAGGTGGGGGAGCGTCGGAGTTGGTGGGGGGGGGGACCCAGGAAAACGTGGGAGGACGTGGGAGGAGATTGTTTGCTTTGAGAGGCGCGGCAGGACGTGGGAGTTGGGTGGACGTTGGCGTTGGTGGGAGAACTCGGGGGGACGTGGGAGGAGGTGGGGGGACTCGAGAGGACGTGGGTGGACGTGGGTGGACGTGGGAGGAAATGGGAGGTGGGGAGAGGTGGGAGGACTCGGGAGGACGTGGGCAGGAGGTGGGAGAGAAGAAGGGAGGAGCTTGGAGGAGATGGGACGACGTGGGAGGCGGTGGGAGGTGGGGGTTGGGATAATGAGATGATAGCTGGGAGAACGTGAGGGAAGGCGGGAGAAGGTGGGAACAGGTGGGAGAGGGTGGCCCTCGAAAAGCAGATGCCTCGAACCTCGAGCCTCGAGAGTCGAGGGTCGAAACTCGGCGTGAACCAGACCACAACATGTCCGATCGAACGCTCTAAGACGTCCCGCTTGCGGGGAAGGCGTGACTCGTGCATGCACGGAGGAACACGTGCATTGGTGAACACGAAAGCGAATCTTCAACACACCCCTCGAGCTTCAAGAGTATTGCTACACGAGTGTTTGCATGTATGCCAGATAATCAACCCGAAATTCATCCAAACACCTGCCACGCGCATTGTGCAATTCACGCTCCAAACTGGTGTTGAAACCATCCTGAGAAAAAAAAAGTCGATTGCATTAGTACACTTGGTTCTTGGACGGCCAACTCTGCGGGAGCCTACTGGACGCAGGTGTGACTAGTTAGGATGATGCGGGAGAACTCGGGGGGACTCGTAGATTCCAGACGCGCTCCTTGTTATATAAGGATCCCTTTCCAAATCGAACAATTGTTTTCTGTGGAGCCCACTTGCGTTCCAATTTTGTCATAAGGATTCCTTCTAATATTCTATCTACAACAATGGTGTTGTGTTGCTCACGGTTGCTGTGGTGCACACAGGCGCCGTGGTGTACACAGGCGCTGTGGTGCACGCAGGCACTGTGGTGTACACTGGCGCTGTATTGCGCACGGCTGATGTGGTGAACGCAGGCGCTGTGGTGCACACAAGAACTGTGGTGCTCACTGGCGTTGTGTTGAACGCGGCTGCTGTGGTGTACATGGATGCTATGGTGTACACAGGCGCTGTGGTGCACGCAGGCACTGCGGTTCACACAGGCGCTGTGGTGTGGTGCAGATCGCCACCTACATGGTGCTGCTACCCGTCCTCGGTCATTCCTATGCATTCCAAGACGCCGCCGGCGCGAAACGTGACGTCACTGGCCCCCTTCCCCTCCCGGTGCCGGCCGTTATCGCCCCGGAAAAAAAAACAGGTTCCGTATACGTTCGGAGCTCGGAGCGGAGCTCCGAAAGCTGATGTTAACCCGCCAACCGCCTTCCGTAGCTGAGCGCGATGCTGTCCGCGGGCAGCGCTCCAGCTGGCGCTTCTGCCAGGCATTCCTGAGGGGAAACGTTGGGGGGTGGGGGGGACCAGCTCGGGGAGGGAAACATCGACTTGGGATCGGCGATCCATCTCGGTTAGATCGGCGATACGCCACCAACAGCAAAACCGCACGTTCCTGGACGTGGTGGGCTCTCTGGCCCCTCTCGGCGATCAATGGGCGATTGGGGGTCGATGCATCCCCCCTGAGCACATACACCCTGCGAGATGCTTAAGAAATCATGGGTTAAGAAATTCAGAGTCTCAGAACTTGAATAAAACCCTACAATTTCCATTACAATCTTAAGATTTACATTGAAACATAAAGAATAATCGAGACTCTGGCCGAAAACTTAAGTTTTCTAAAGCATCGCCTAAGGTGTATCCCCCGAAAGTTGCCAGGGAACTCCGAGAGACAGACCATCAGCTCCGTGTGGCCCGTGGGCTGGCCCGGAGCGACGCCCCACGCCCCGCCGCCGCACATCTCCTCGGCCTTGTCCACCTCTTGGCGGGCAGTTCCAGGTCCCCTCGCGTCGCGATTTTTTTTTTTTTTTTTTTTTTTTTTTTTTTTTTTTATTAAAAAAAAAAAAAAAAAAAAAAAAAAAAAAAAAAAAAAAAAAAAAAAAAAAACGGCGGACGGTTTTCTCTAATTGTTCGGAGGCGTCCAAGAGGGGGGCGTCCAAGAGGAGGGGGCGCAAATCATGGCTGGCGGCATGAGCGCGGCCCAGGGGGGGCCGGGGACGCTTTGGAGTGAGAAGAGGCGCCATGATATCTGGGGAGACATCATGGCCCCCGCCATGATATCCCCCGCTGGTCACTAAACCCTAGTCATCACCCCCCTTCGGCCGCTCACGATTTTCTCTGCTCTTGGCGTCTAGGGGACCTTACTGGGCCGGTCGGGATCGTCAACAAAAAACAAGGCATGAGGAGGAACTGGTCTCTGGGAAGGGTCCAGACCCCTCAGGGGTCCACACTTTGCAGCAGAAAACAACATTCAATCGGAGGTCAACACCCTACAGTAGGAGCTTAACCACAAGACACCTTCAACAAGAAACCCAACCCTGTGACCCCAGGACGTCTATCGACTTTGGGATATAATTGGTGTGGGGACGTCACGCTCTCGATAGAAAACCAAGAAAACCATTGGAACCCAAGAAACCAAGGCCACCCTGGAGGCAAGCAGGGTGTTTCTTGGCATGAGTTCCCGCTGTATCCCGCCATCCCCGCCACCCGAAGAAGACTAATCAGCCCTGGACCCCCTGCGTTCCCGCAAGCGTGCCCCGCGGGGCGCTCCGGGAATTCGGCTCTGGCAGACAGGGAGCTTCATGGAAGCCCGAGAGCTTGCATCTAGGAGCTACGATCGAGATGGTTTGCTTAGCGTGTCGCGGCAGCGGCCGGGCGACACGCCATACCCTGCGAGCTGATAGCGTGTCGCTCCGCTCCACGGGGCGGGAGAACAGGAAGAGCTCGGGACGTTGACGTTTGGACATGGACGTGGTTAGCGTGTCGCGCCGATGCGCCGCGGGCCCAAACCCGCAGCACGACACGCTAATCTGGCAAAAAGTCCAAGCCGTCGGCCTATGCGACAGTCAGATCGAATCCCGACCTTGGCATGACAGAAAAGCGGGTCCTTTGGGAAGCGGGTCCCAGGAATTCTCCCAGGAGCGGCCTTGCAGTCCTGAGCAGTTTTGTTGACGACCCTGCGGCCCGTGGAAGGCCCAGGGAAGTCAAAAACTGCGAAAACAAAGGAACAACCAACTGCACAAACATAAGTCACAAAGTCAGACATCTGGTTGGGAGGATGGGGTTGGGAAGAATGACCAGGTCATCCGTATGATAGGGTCTGTTGAGAGTGGCTGTTGCACAGTCGTACCTGTATATTCCCAACCCCGTCCTCACAACACGAGAACTGCCTTTCTCCATAAGTTTTTCAAGCTCCGGGCAGATTTCTTGGATTGGCGCTGGACCTCCCCACACACCCTGGCGCGCGAAGCGCACCTGGCGGCAGCGCTGGAGAGGCGTCGCAGGGAGGGACCGAGCGCAGATCCGAGAAATCCGCGCGGATCCCCGACAATTTATGCTTATGCCGTTTCGTTTCCCGGGGGGGGGGGAGCTAAAGGTACCCCTGGCCCTGCTTTTCGCTCTCAGGTTTGACGCCCCTGGGCCCCCTGGGCCTCGTGAGGTGTGCTGTGGAGACCGCGGGGGCCTCCTTGGAAATCCTGGGGGCACCTGGGGCCAGGGACACTTCTAGCAGCACCCGATCTTCCTCGGGTAAAGCCGCAGAGCCCGCTTCCCTCAGGATCCGCTCGCCTCGCGACGACGGATCTTGCAGGCTTTGGCAGGCCGGCCAGCCAGACCTCCGCGGCCAGCACCTCAAACGGCCCCTTGCCGCCCAGTGGCGCGCCCAGCGCGTCGCCGACGGCCACGCCCAGCACCGCGCCCAGGAGCTGGGACATGGTCGGGTGCGCCAGAGAGGGTGGAGTCCAGATCTCCGACGATCTGATATCTGATAGTTTCAATCCGGGCGTGGTTCCTCGGTGTCAGCCCCGGGGCCATCAAACATGGACCTGGGACACGAGCCTGCCACCAGGGAAGGAATCAGGACCGCAGGGGCCGCGGGTCATATCGGAGGCCAGGACGAGGGGGATCAGCGCATCATCGTGGGTGAGGGGCGTCCTGAGAGAAGCAGAGGGACGAAACTTGGGAGACTCCATGGCCCCAGCCGTGATGTCCACACACAGACACACACACCTCGTGGGCGCCCCCGGCATGGCGCCCGTGGCCGTCGGCAGGGGCCTTCCAGGGCCCGGCCGCGTCGCCCACCAAACCATGGCTCGGCGGCGCGCCCAGGGGGACGTGAGAGGAGGCAGACCTTCTCAGAGGGCGGCAGGGTCTCTCAGGAGCCCCTCGGCCACTGTGCGAAGCCGCCTCCGGCTTCGGAGAGGGCCCAGGCAGCGTCTCGGAAGGGCCGGAGGCCTCCCGAGCCTTCTGAGGAGGCCCGCCCCCATCTGCCTTCCCTCGACCTTCACCTTTTGAACCTTCCGCGCATCACGTAAGTCACCGCGGCGCGGCCGCGGCAACCGCCGAGACCGTCGCTGCGGCTTCAGCGGCCGCCACTGCGGCCGCGCTGGCGGCGGCCGCTGCAGGGCACCTGACGCCCGGGAGGTGCGGAAGGTGGAGATCGAGTGTCCCGGAGGTCCAACTTTGCAACCAAATCCCACCAGCCCTCTGGGCGTAGGTGCCCTGCCGATATCGTGCTTTTCTGTTCCAAAACCTTTTTCCCTGCGGGGAGGGGTACCCTCCCCCTCCCATCCCTAGGTTTTGGGGGAGGGGAACCGAGAGGTTAGAGCGTCCAAGGTAGCTCAAGATGGCCTCAGGAGGGCCTCCGATGCTCCAAGATGGCCCAAGATAGCCGAGGATGGCTCAAGATGGCTTCCAACATGTCCTCCTCTTCCCTTTCCTCCTGCTGCTCCTCCCTCTCTTCCTCCTGCTCCTCCTCCTCCTCCTCCTCCTCTTCCTCCTCTTCCTCCTCTTCCTCCTGCTCCTCCTCCTCCTCTTCCTTCTCCTCATCCTCTCGTCATCGTCAATATCCTCGTCCTCATCTTCCCCCTCCTCCCTTCCTCAGTTCTCCATGGTTGCCCGCTTTGGTGCACTATATGTGTCTCTCCCATATGCCGTCAGCTCTCATGGGCAGCGTTTCTTGTTGGGCTGGTGGGGATACGCGAAGCGTGAAGAGCTGCAACGTCGCCAACAAAGAAACACGACCGGAGCCCCCGATCGTATCTTCCCGGGCCATTCTTCGAGCCGGATCGATCTGGGAGGGCCCCAGAGCCCAAAAACACAAGGCGAGCACGCCCGCTGCGACAAGTACTGCGACGCCAGGATCTCTGGGCTGGGCGTGCCGCCGAATGGCCCACACGCGCTCCAGCACGTCCACGTCGGGACGGCCGAGCCGCACGCACTCCTCGCCCGTGGCGAGCTGGGCGCGCTCGAAGCCGGCGACCCGCAGCAGTGGCAGCGCGGGCAGGAGCCTCAGCAGGAGGAGGAGGAGGAGGAGGAGGAGGACGACGAGGACGAGGAGGAGAAGGGGGAGGAGGACGAGGAGGAGGAGGAGGAGGAGGAGGGCGCCTGGCCAGGCCGATCCTGGGCCCTGGCATGGTGTGTGGGCAAACCCCCTCGCGTCATGAAAAAAAGCCAAGCTGGAAGGTGCGTCTCTCTTTCCGGCCTCCACGGGGCCCTGGCGGAGCCTCGGGGCCGACGAAAAACATCTCGGGATAAAAAGCCGGCCCTGAGGAATGCTGGGGAATGCCTCAAGACCTCTGGGGGTCGACGCGAGCAGAAATTCCTGGCGTCGGGTGTCTGGGGGGCCCTGGCATGGTGTGTTTCAAGGGGGCCTGCAAGCTCGAGACATTGGCTTCGAAGAAGCTGCCGGAGAACTTCTGGCACGCGTATTGGGAACGAGTAGGAAAAAGCTTGCCGGGACACGCTGTCGGTTCACAGGAGATGCTGCGAAGCTCCTTGGCCGGCGCCAGAAAAAACTGCCGGGCCACCCTGTGCTGCCGGCTTCTCATCTGAAAGCTCTCAGAGAGCTAATGGGGGATTATGGCGTCGGGGCTCTGCGGTCTGGGAGGCCCTGGCACGGTATGTTCCCGGGAGCTGCAGCAAGGTCCGACTCAAGGGAGGCGGCGCTGGTGCCCTGCCCTGCATCTTGCTGTTCTCGAGGTGCGCGAGCGGGACCGTACGCAGGAAAGTGACCGGGTGCAACGAACCCACTTCAATTGTTAGGATCCACCCAAAGGGGGGGGGGACCCTGAGGGGGGGCATGACTTCGATCCGCTGGTGCGCCGAACTGCCGCAAACAGACGCCCCCCGCATGCCCCACCCGTCGGCAACTGTCGGGAGCTGCCTGCGGCTGGGGGGCATCTGTTTTGCACGGTTGGGTGCAAAAACCGATCGAACTCACACATACACACACCCCAGTGCACACCACCCCTTTTGCGGGATCCCTATTTTGGCAATCCTCGAGAAGTTAAGAAAAAACTACTGGGAGGTCTTCGCAAGGGGCCCCGAAGAGGCCCCAAAGATGCCCCAAAGATGCCCCAATGGGCCCCTCCAACAGAGGCAAAAAGCCTCACCCGTGGATTTCGTTTCTCCTCTGGCGGTCGGCGGAATGACGCAAGCCGCTTGGAAAACTCCTGGGAGATCTTCGCAAGAATGGTTCAGGGCAATTGCGACCGCACCCCGACTTAAGCCCAGGATTGAGCCAGATTAAGCCTGAGTAAACGGCGATAACCGGGACTCCACGGAAGTGTGCCAGATGAGGCCAGTTTTCGACCACGGATATACCAGCGCAGATGTGGAGTTCAACATCCCAAAAAGTGTATCCTAATCCGAGTGAGGGGGCCGAACGGTCATTCACTATCCCTGGGTGCGTGGTTGAAGTGGGCTTCCGCGGTGCGGATTGTTGCTGTTGTTGCTGGTGGTGGTGCTGGTGCTGGTGCTGGTGCTGGTGCTGCTGCTGCTGCTGCTGCTGCTGCTGCTGCTGCTGCTGCTGTTGCTACTGCTGGTGCTGGTGCTGGTGCTGGTGCTGCTGCTGCTGCTGCTGCCGCCGCCGCTGCTGCTGCTACTGCTGCTGCCGCTGCTGCTGCCGCTGCTGCTGCTGCTGCTGCTGCTGCTGCTGCTGCTGCTGCTGCTGCTGCTGCTGCTGCTGCTGCTGCTGCTTGTTGTCTGCCGCCCGCGACCCCGCCCGCGACCCACCTGCGACCAACCCGCGACCCACCCGCGACCCACCCGCGACCCACCCGCGACCCACCGCGCGACCCACCGCCGACCCACCCGCGCCCCACCCGGGCCACCCGTGACCCACCCGCAACCCACCCGCAACCCTCCCGCGACCAACCCGCAACTCGCCCGCGACCCACCCGCGACCCACCCCGCGCCCGCCCCCTCACTCTTGTCCGCAACTGCGGGGTGCTACATATTTACACCCGGCTGGCTGAAGCAACGAGGTATGCTGGGGCCCAGGATGGCCCTGGCCAAGGACAGCGGTTGTGTATAGATGCCCTCTGCGGACCTCTGGCCGGCGGGCTTCGACAGGACCACGCAACGGTACTTTTCGCTGTCTGGGTACCGCCTCACGTTCGTGACGATCTTCTCCAGGACCTGACTGAAATCTCAGACGATCCGATTTTTCGATCGGGCCGATGTTCCTCCATTTCGGCCTCTGAGATCTGGGATCCACTGTTGGGCCAGATGCGCGTTGGCATGGCAATATGTGTTATTGCTCGCTGTCTCGTGTTCTCATCCGTTCGTCGTCGTCGTTCCCACCCTCTCGCTTCCTCCGAAGGGCTCTGAGCACTTTACATTCGTTCGCCCATTCGTCGTTGTTGCCCGCTGGCACCCTCCCCCCTGTCCCTCCGTTCTCCCCTTCCTCTCGTTGCCCCTCCCTCTCTGCACCTCGTCACCCTCGAAGTCCCCATGGTGCCCCCTGGTCACCTCGGGTCACCCCTGGTTCCCCCAAGTCCCCCCCAGCTCACCCCTTTCCCAGAGTTCGGACTCCTATATGTTCGTTCGGTCGTTCTTCGTCGTCCCCTCTGGCCTCCATCGCTCACACTGCCCCTGGCCTTGCCCGCCCTGCAGAGCTCGGGTCCCTGTATTATCCTGCGCGCTGGTCGCCTAGAGCTGAAAGAGGGTCCTTTGTGGACGAACGAGGAAGTGCGGGGGCCCCTCCCCATACAGGCCTCGAACCTCCGTAAGGGAAGTGAAGAAATTCGGTTCTCCACCCTCCAGCAGTCGGGGGAGAGTCGAATCCCCCCGAGCACCTACAAACGACGACGACGACGATAATAATAATAATAATAACGACGACGACGACGACGACGTGCACTCACATTCCACGGGCGCCCATCCTATCTTGCTTGCAGCATATCGCATGAGCGTGCAGAGGCAAAGCCGGACGAGGAGAAAACCGAAGCGTCTCCGCAACGAACGAGGTTTCCACCGAATGCCCCGCCCGCCCGTCGTTGTAGGCTCTGTCCTGGGCGTTTCTTTCGTGCCGTCCCCCCCCCCCGTAAGAAGAGAAAGCACGGCATAAATATAGACGTTCGGCGCTCTGCACGGACGTCTTGGAACGACTCAAAACCCCGCCGGGCGCCGCCCCCCGACGCCGCCCTTGGCGCCGCCCCTGGCGCGCTCCACGCACGAGGGAGGGGGGTCCACCGCCGACCCAAGAGATCCGCGCGGAGCTCCTCGAGTGTATGTCTAACCCCGGGAAGCAAACAGTAACCCCCCCGGCGATATCGTTAGCACAGGAAATAAAATAAATAATTAGAGGCTTGTGGAGGCCTTTCGGGATGCCTCGTGGGAACCTCCGGGGACCTCCCCTCCGCGGACCCGGGGGATATCGCTTCCGCCCCGGCCCCGGTGCCGGAAGCGTTATAATTTCCTCTGATGAAGGGGGGGGGGAGGGGGGTTTACTGATTGCTTCCCAGGGTTATGCCGTCGTTTGTTCTGCGATCCCCCCCACGCCTGCCCCTCCAATTGAAACAAGTTGCCTGAATGCGCGGTTGGGACGCGAGCCCTCTGGACGCCCACGTCGAGGCCCGTCGAACAACGCTCGCAGTCGAAAGGGGATAAGGATGGACCAAGGAGGCAAGGATGCACGGGTACCCATGAGAAGGTGACCCATCCTTGGAAGCCTCCTAGATGGAGTCGGGGTAGATGGGATCGGAAGATTGCGCAGCATTTCCAATGAACCGGCGATGCACTGGCGATGGCCAACCACGTCGGCGATGCATCGGCGCGGGCTACACATCGGGTCGCATCGCCGATGCATCGGCGATGAGGCCCGATCCTCCGACTCCATCTACTCCGACTCCATCTGGGAAGCCTAGAACCATTGCCATCGGTTTCGACTGCTCCGCGCGCGCTGCTCTGAGTAACGATACACAACTGCGGAGGTTTCGACTGCTCCGCGCGCGCGTTGCTCTGAGTAACGATGCGCAGCTGCGGAGACAGTCCCTCCGTATCATCCAAGCCCTACCAACAGTCTGCAAAGGAAAAACGTGGAGGGCAGCTGAAATGGGCGAGGGGAGTGTTAGGAATGACTGCATCCTTACCACTTACCATCGGTTTCGACTGCACCCGCACGGGTGCCGCTTCTGGGCCGGAGCCCGCCTGGAGAGCCTCGGGGCCGCCGGGCTGGCCCGAGATCGCCGCGAGCTCTGCGACGCCCGCGCCCTGCGCCCCCCCCGCGACGGCGGCGAGGTAGGCTGCCCGGAGAGGGTCCGCGCCGCCAATCACCTCCCCAAGGGGGAAGGGCGTCCTCCTCCTCTTCCACCTCGATTATCCTCCTCCTCCTCCTCCTCCTCCTCCTCCTCCTCCTTGATCCTCCTCTTCGATTATCCTCCTCGGTTCTCCTCCTCGATCCTCCTCCTCCTCGATGATCCTCCTCGATTATCCTCATCGATCCTCCTCCTCCTCGATCCTCCTCCTCCGCCTCATCATCAGCATCAGCATCAGCATCAGCATCAGCATCATCATCATCATCATCATCATCATCATCATCATCATCATCATCATCATCATCATCAGCATCATCATCATCAGCATCATCATCATCATTAGCAGCATCATCATCATCATCATCATCTCATCATCATCATCATCATCATCATCATCATCATCATCATCATCATCATCATCATCATCATCTGGGATTCTTCGGGGTTCCAAAGCAAGCGTTCCACGAGCCCTGCCTATTCCTCCTCCTCCTCCTCCTCATCCTCCTCCTCCCCCCCTCCTCCTCCTCCTCCTCCTCCTCCTCTCCTCCTCCTCTTCCTCCTCCGCATCCCCCCTCCGCGCTCCTCGCTCCTCCTCCTCCTCCTCCTCCTCCTCCTCCTCCTCCTCCTCCTCCTCCTCCTCCTCCTCCTCCTCCTGCGAGCGCTGGCGCAGTCTGTGACATGACGCCCGCACTCGCTCTGACGCCGAACAGCTCCGCTCGAGGACACGTTAGGACACCGCGACGAGCCCGGCTGCCCAGTCACGCCGCCGCCTCGGCGCAGAACTCCGCAGCTCGCCCGGCGCTGTCCTCCCCCAGGGCGCTGCGCAGCGGTCGGGCTGTGGCCCAGTGCAGGGCCACGCCCAGGCTGAGCGTGGCCCTCCACCGGCCCCACCGGGCCACGAGCTGCCCAGCGAGAGCTCGGGGATCTTCTGACCCGGGCCAATCCAGACCCATGCAGCAGGAAACCAAAAACTGCAATGCAGGAAAAAACTGCAACGCAGGTCTTCGCAAACCCGGGTCAGCCAATATGTGCGGCCGCCTCGCGGCCACGAGCGGCTCGCTAACCCTGGTCAGCCGGAGGAGGTCGTCGCAGGATCCTGCAGGCTCCCGAAAAGCCTTGGCGGCGCCCTCGCCGGCTGGCCAGGCCGCGGAGGTTACGCAGGGCGGCCTGGCCGTGGTGGCCGGCGGTTCCCAGCGCCAGCGGCACCATGGGCCAAGGCGCCTGACCCGCGGGGTACCGCCGACACTGATCCGCCTCCGCAGCAGCGTTCAAGGCCCCGTCCAAGCCAGCGGCGGTGCGCAGCCCGTCGACGTCGCCCGGCACGCAGGACCAGACCGTGACGTCGAAAAAGGTGCGCGGCTGCCCAGGCTGGTGCACCTCGAGGCCCAGGATGGCCTCCTCCCGTTCAGCTGCGAAGCTGCTGCCGCAGGAAGCGCAAGAGGCCGCCTGGCCGCACCGCCGCGGACCCGCGGGCGCTGCACCCGGCGCAGCGCCAGACCCAGCGGTCCCAGGCTGGGACGTGGACCTGCTGAGCGGCGTGGTGGCCGCATTCCGTGTGGATGCGCTGCCAGGCCCGCTCCAGGTCGCCGCTGCGCGCCTGCGGGCCCCCGCCTCGGGGGCAGCGCCAAGCGTGGCGGGCCTTCCTGCAGAGCCCCTCCCCGCAGCGCTGGCCAGCCCGCTCGCCCGTCCGGGTGCGGTTGCAGCATGTGGCCCCAGGCGGCGCCGTGTCCTGCCCCAGAAGGGCGCGGAAGGTGGCCTTCTAGTCGGCATCGTCCAGGCGCTCGCGGGGCTGCCCGGGCGAGGCCCCCTGCCAGCCGGCAGCGTGCGGCCCGCCGCAAGAGCGGAGGAGCGCCCTCGCCTCTGGCTCCAGGGCTCTCAGCAAATAAAGGAAAGTGGAGTCGCATTGTGTCTGGTCTATCTCCGCAGTGGAAGTTTTTCTGGAGTTTGCAGCGGGGCGCCCCTGCCAGCTCGCGGCAGGAGGGCAGCTCGGCCGGCTCCGCGCCGGGGCCCGGCGGCGGCGGCGGCGGCAGTTGCGCGAGGCCGGCCGGCGCGCTGCGGCACGCGGCCGCAAGGGGGAGGCCGCAGTTCTCAAAGTCGTCGAGGCAGGCGAGCCCAGAGCGATCGCGCACGCCGCCCAAGCTCTGCGCCCAAGATGAAGGGGCCCCAGGACACACAAATAAATAGACACAAATAAAATAATCCCCCATATTTTCGCATATTTTCTGGCTTTTTGTCTTCCCCCCCACTTCCTATATTTTCCCATATTTTCCTGGAAATCGACAAATAATTGTGTCTGTGTGTTTTTCCCCCTCCTGACAAGAGGAGGCCCAGAGGCAGCCGGCGCCAGTTGCTGCTGGCTGCGCAGGCCGCGTCCGCCGGTGCGCAGTGGCGGCTGGCACTGCGTTCGCTGGGTCTCCGTCGGCGGATCCAGGTCCGCGTGCTGCTCGTAGGCGGCCAGCAGGGCGTTGTCGTAAGCTGCGGCGGCCGCCTCCAAAGTCGCTGGCGGGTTCGTCTGGTGAGGTGCTCCTGCTCCTCCTCCTCCTCCTCCTCCTCCTCCTCCTCCTCCTCCTCCTCCTCCTCCTCCTCCTGCTCATTCTCCGCCTTCTCCTTCTCCTTCTCCTTCTCCCTCCCTCCCTACCCTGAGATCCGGGATCGAAGGAGAGCGGCACAAGGAAGAGAGTAGACTGGAGCGAGGAAGACGGACGGAGGGCGAAAGATGCGCAATAGTCGGGTCAGGCGAAATGGGGGGTCAGTAAAAAGGTGTTTGCGAATCAGCTTACGCAGCTGATTGCCATGCGCCTCATAGCGCCTGATGGCGCCAGTGGGTCGAAGAAAACACCGGCGGCCTGCCTAACCCAGCCACTTTCAGCAGATGTCCGACCGCCCTCTTTCCATACCCTCCGTTCGTCCGACCTGGCATCCGTGGGACAGGGAGAGTAGAGGGAACACTAAAACTGTATCAACAGAAACTCGTCGTAGGCCAGCGCAGAGTTCCTGAGGCCTGCGGACGCCCCCATCAATGCCTTGCAGCCCGGTGGCGGATACGCCACATACCACCATATTGTTGTGCACCTCTGAACCAGTACCCTCGAAGTTGATGAGCGAGTCCCCCCCATTTCTTGTCTCGGGTCGTCGCACCACCATATTGTTGTGCACCTCTGGACCAGTGCCCTCGAAGTCGATAAGCGAGTTCCCCCCGTTTCTTTTCTTGGGTCGTCGCTCGACCCCCCTCCAGGGGTTGGCGCTGGAGGCGCCGCCTGGAGGGTCCGCGTCGACCCAAGAAATCCGCGCAGAGCTCCGGAAGTTCCCATGAACCTGGCGGCTGTTCCTCCAGCAGAAGGGGGGGAGGTGGCGACGACGACGATGATGCTGATGACGACGATGAGGAGGATGACGATAATGACGATGATGATGATGATGATGATGAAAATGATAATAATCGTGATGACGATGAGTATGAGTATGATTATGATTATGATTATGATGATGATGATGATGATGATGATGATGATGGTGGTGGTGGTGGTGATGATGATGACGATGATGATGATGATGATGACAACTGTGATGGTGAAGTTGATGGGGATGCTGACGATGACGGTGATGAGGATGCTGATGATGATGATGATGATGATGATGATGATGATGATGATGATGATGATGACGGTGATGTGAATGGTGGTGGTGATGGGGATGGTAATGATGACGATGACGATGATGATGTCGATGATGATGAGGAGGAGGAGGAGGATGGTGATGGTGATGGTGATGGTGATGGTGGTGGTGATGGTGATGGTGATGATGACGATGATGATGATGATGGTGATGGTGATGGGGATGGTGATGATAAGGTGATGATGATGGTGATGAGGATGATGATCTGAGATGAGACTCTGCATCCACGTGTGGTTAGGAATGAAGCCCTCGCAGGAAGACAACTCAACAGAAGTGCGCGAGCAGCAGGAAGGAAGTAGAGGCGCAGGCACAAGCAAAAGTCCCTGCTGCCCTCCGCCCCCTGGGGAGCGAGTGCGCCTCTGGGAGGGAGCCGCGCAGGGCAGGACCGCCTGGCAAACTGCCAAGGCTCTTCTCTGGCGAACGCACCATCTGTGTGGCGCTTCCTCCTGACCGGACTCCAGCCCCAGACCCCCGAGAGGGGGCGGAGGAGGGGACCCCCCGAGGGGGGCGGAGAAGGGAGGAGCGAGGAGGAGGAGGAGGAGGAGGAGGAGGAGGAGGAGGAGGAGGAGGAGGAGGAGAAGGAGAGGGAGGAGGAGGAGGAGGAGGAGGAGGAGGAGGAGGAGGAGGAGGAGGAGGAAAGGCAGGGTTCGTAGGGATCCTTCTCCCCCCCCCCCCTGACTCCAGCCCCAGTCCCCCGAGGGGGCGGAGGATGAGGAGGAGGAGGAGGAAAGACTGAGGGGCTGGGCTGAGGAGGCGCCCGCCGACACCCCGTCCTACCCGTTCCCACCGACGAGGGGATGAGGGCAGAACGCAGCCAGAGGGCCGTTGCCAGAGGGCAAACTGCTGCTGCCGCAACCCTGCACCACGATCTCCCTCCTTGGCGTAGAGAACGGGAAATCCACCCTCAGAATGACCACCCCGGCAAGCGAAACCGTTTAGCAAACGCACCCAAGGAAGGAATCGAACAGGGCAGGGCTATTTAGTAAACGCCCAGGGCCGTTCTGCAATCCCCAATTATCAAGATCGGGGTGGTTTGCCCTCCGTTGATGGCGGCGCCTGAACCAGCGGCTCGGAGAACCCGTCTTAAGGAGGAGGCAGAAGAAGAAAGCATGCACAAGACGTTCGCATCTGCTCTGCGATGACCCCCCTGCCAGGCGCGCGGAGCGCGCCAGGGGCAACGCCGGCGGCGCCGCCAGGGGGGGGGGGCAACGCAGATCCAAGACATCCGCGCGGAACTCCGAAAGTTGATGCTTATGCCAGTTTGTCATCTTCGCCATCGGGACGAGGAGGAGGAGGAGGAGGAGGAGAAAGAGAGGAAGAGGAGAAGAGGAGGAGAAGCGACGCGAAGCGATCGCCAGATTCGCGCGCGGTCCGCTAATTAGGCAGCCCGCCCGAGTAAGAGGAGGAGGAGGAGGAGGAGGAGGAGGAGGAGGAGGGAGGAGGAGAGGAGGAGGAGGACGAGGAGGACGAGGAGGACGAGGAGGACGAGAGGACGAGGACGCGGACGGGGAGGAGGAATACGAGGAGGGCGAGCGAGGAGGAGGAGGAGGAGGAGGAGGAGGAGGAGGAGGGAGGGCGAGGAGGAGGAGGGAGGAGGAGGAGGAGAGGGCGAGGAGGAGGAGGGGAGGAGGGCGAGGAGGAGGAGGAGGAGGAGGAGGGGGACGACGACGAGGAGATGGCCTCCGCCGCGCCGTGCGCCCGCACGGCGCGGAGCGCGGACTGGACGCTCGCCTCGGACCCCGCCCCGAGCTCCAGGAGGCCGCCGCCGGTGTCCCGGAAGCCCGCGGCGGCCAGGAATTCCAGGGCGCCTTCGGGGGGGGCGGAGGAGGAGGAGGAGGAGGAGGAGGAGGAGGAGGAGGAGGAGGAGGAGGAGGACGAGGAGCCGCACCCACTTGCGCGGCGGGCCGTCTGTCTCGGCGCGCCGCCCGAGCGCCCGAGCGGCGCGGCGGCCCCCCGCCTCGCCGCCGCGGGCGCGGCACGCCCTCGCGGCACGGCGCCGACCGCCGCCGCCGCGCGGGCGGGCACGGGCCGACGGCCTCAGCCGCCAGCCCACCTCGGCGCAGGCGCGGCACGGCGCAGGCCGCCTCCGCGCCGCGCCAGGGGCCGCTCGCCGCCCAGCGCCCTCCCGCTGCCGCCCAACAGGCCGAACGGCCGCAGCAGTGCCCAGGCTGGGCGGCGAGCCGCCCACGAACTTCATGCCGTTGTCGGCACCTCGTCCGCTGGGGCCTCCGTTAGGCGCGCCTCCAGCTGGACGGGCTCGCCGATGAAGTGGCCCTTGATCGGGTGCTTCCCCGCCTTCATCCTGTTGAGCCTCGTGCCCGCAGTGGCGTTGGCGATCTTGCCCAATCACTTCGCCGCCAGCAGGACAGCCGCACCTCCGCTCGCCCTTGCACCGCAGGCGCTGCAGAACACCACGTCGCCCATGGTCATCAGTCGGTGCGACGCGTCGGCCGCCAGCACGGCAGCAGGCGTCCCGCGGCACAGCCCCGCCTCCAGCTGGGCGCGGTCCCTGCAGCGGACCCCGCAGCGGTCGCATGCGAAGGGCAGCGCGCTGTCGCCGCCGACCCACTGCGCACGGTGCCGCAGCGGCAGGCCCACCACGCTGCCCTCGTCGTCGGGCATGAAGAGCTGAGGCCCTCGCTCACGCTGGAGCCGTGCCGCCACGCGGCGGCCGATGCCGTCCAGGCTGGCAGTCCTGCCATCGGCTTGGCTGCTGCTCGCCTCCAGCGCTGCTTGCCGAGCCTCGGCCTCGCGAGGCCGCTTGTCACCTCCTCGAGCCAGCGTGCCCTTCGCCGTGTAGAGCTGCCGTCGTCGCGGTGCCGCCTGCCTGCGCGGCTGCACCAGCGGCGCGTCGTCGCTGTCCTCGTCGTCGTGGCAGGCCTGGCTGCTGCAGCCCTGGCCGCTCCGCGGGGTGACCCGCGCTGCCCAGCCGCCCGCCAGGCCTTCGGGGCCACCGCCGCTGGCCTGGCTCGCCGCCCCCTGCTGGGCCCCGCGGGGCGAGGCGGGGTCGGCCTCGCCCCTGCTGACAGCGCTGTCACGCTGGGCCAGGTCCTTGCCGTCGGTCACGCCGTCGGAGCCCCCCGCCAGGCCTGCGCTCCCAGCTGCCGCCGCGAGCGCCGCCGCCGACAGCACCGTGGCCCCGCGCTGAGGCGGCTCGCCTCCGCTGCTGTCGCCGTCCTGGTCGTCGTGTTCCATGCTCAGGCTCGTGTCGACTCTCCTGTCGGGCTCGGGCACTGGCTGCCCGCACGGCTGGGTGCGGCGGCGCTTGGCGGCACGCACCATGCCGTGCTGCTCCTCGTGCCTCGGGGCCCTCGTCAGCACCTGCTTGCCCGTGGTGTCCCTCTGGCTCCCGTTGGCAAGCACGCGCACCTGGGCCACCCAGCCAGCCATGCGGCCCACCGCCCCTTGCTGGGAGGCGAAGCGCTCCTCCTCGGCCTGCGAGCTGCAGGGGTGGCAGGCCGCTCCCAGCTTGGCCTCGGTGTCGGCGGCGTGATTGCCAAGGGCGAGCCGCCGCTCCACCGAGCCGTACGCGAGCTGGGTGATGACCTGGTGGGCCTTGACCTTGCGGAACTGGAGCTGATCCTGCCCGATGTCCATGATTAGACGCCAGATCCTCCTCCACTGCTCGGCGTAGGCCTTGCCAGGCGCGCAGCACACGGCAGGCCCCGCGGCGATGCCGTCGAGCAGGTCCTGGTAGTCGCTGTATATGGTGAACGGGGGCACGGCGTGCTGCAGCATGACCTCCACTGCGAAGAGCTCGCCCTCTCCCACCTCCTGTAGCCAGCCAGGAGATGGCCCGTGGCAGGCTCCCGTGACTCGCCCGAGGTGGTCCACCGATGCGCAGCCGAAGCCCACCCGCATGCCATCAGGGCCTGCGAGGCTACGCCCTGATCCGTCCACGAAACCGTCGTCCATGAAGAAACCTCCTGGGACCTCCGCGCTCCATACCGTGTGCCACGCTCTCGACGGCCTCGGCCCCGCGTTCCAGTTGGGCAGCAGGCACCTGCCCCAGAACGCCTCCTGCATCGCGGTGAGCGTGCCCTCGGGGAAGTGGACCTGGCCGATCTCGCTCTCCCTGCGCTCCCGCGTCCACGCCACGCATGCACCGTGGCGGTGCGGGAGCGTGCCAGGGGCCTCTCCGCAGCGCTGGCACAGCGGGGAGTCAGCAAGACCCGCGGCCTGCAGCTGCTGCTGGGGCCACTGTGCTCCGATGACGGTGGAGCGCAGGCCGCGCGCCTCCTGCTGCAGGCCGTGCTTCTCGAGGTTGCGGATGACCCTGCGCACTGGCTCCAGGTGAATGCCATCCTTGAGGTGCTCCAGCCCTTCATACATACTTATCTGAGTGTACTGCCACCGCTCGATGGCTCTGTCAAGCAAACCTTTGATCGCCCGTGGCCCCACGCCTTCTCCCAGCTCCAGCTCCTCGCCGTCGTGAGAGGTCCACCTGCTGGCCGAGATCACTTGCCAGCCTATCCTCCTTGCCGTGGCTAGCATCGCCCCCGCTGGCCCGACCACGGCGGCCCATGGGTGCAACTTGTTCCGCTGAGTCGCCTCTGCTCGGTCAAGGGCTCCCTGCAGTATGTGGGTGGGGATGCGCTTAGTCCAGACCGCCTTCGCCCACTCGACCAGCGGCGCCGCGTTGACGGCGTAGGCTGGGTCCTGCTTGCCCCCCTCCAACATGAAGGACAGCGTGAGCGGGCGCCTTGCCGTGTCGGTGAACATCGCCGCTCCGACCGCCGCCCTGATCATGTGCAGCTGCGAGTCGCTTCTGCCGAGCACGCTGGCACCGTACGTCATTGCAGGCTGCATGCCCATCCTGCCCACCTTGCCCGACTTTGCGCCCTGGCGTCTGAGGCACGTGACTCGTCCGAGGCGGCGCCTCTGCTTGTCGAAGTTTGCGTCCATGACCTTGGTGCGCCTCCTTGCTCCCGCCATCGAGTCCACGCCCAGGTTGCGGTGGTGCTGCCTGACCTGGAGCCGCTGCGCCGTGCGCGTGTGCACCTTGTCGGCGATCCACTTGCCCGTGTACGCCGTGGAGATCACGATAGTGGACTTCGAGCCGTTGATCTCGAAGCCCAGCTTGCGGAGGAGCTCGATGAGATACTGCAGGCCGTCCGCTGCTACCTTGAGTAGGAACCGCCGTGACCCGATGCAGAGGATGGTGATGTCATCGACGAAGGCGAACAGCTGGATGCACTGATACCTGTCTCCGAACAGCCTCAGGCTGTGGTACATGAGGACCTTCAGCCATGATGTCGCGAACCCGCGCCCCGCCAAGATGCTGCAGCCCAACTCGACCTCGCCCGAGACCGCGTCGTCGACCTTGCACCGCCGTGGGCCCGCATATATGCTGATGCTGGTGCGCAGTAGCACCAGGTTGGCGCCGCTGGCGCAGCCTTCGTCCCAGAGCGTCTGGTGGCCCACCCTCTCGTAGGCCTTGGTCATGCCGAGCTGGTTGGAGGCCGTGACCACGCCGACCTTGAAGGCCCACTCCTGATAGACGGCCTGGTCCCAGACAGCCCGCTCGGCCGTCCTGCCGCTTGCGTTGTGAAAACATGGCAGGTCATGCTCGTCCTCCCACTGCTGCATTTGTGCCCGACGTACCTTTGTCCAAACACGAAGAAAACCTCCTAGTAGAGCGATGGGCCTCACCCCGCCCTCCTTCTTGGCGGGGAAGACGATGATGGTGGTCAGCTGCTTCGGCTGGTTGCCGACCCTCTCCATGTAAACCATGAGCTGGCCCAAGAAGGTCAGAGCCTCGTCGGACAGCATCGCGAACCACCGTGGGTGGAACGCGTCGGAGCCCAGGGCCGTCCGATGCTTGAACCTCCTGCTCGCTGTCCTGATAGCTCCAGCCGCGGGCGCGCCCAGCACGTGGTGCTTGATCTCGTCCCAGCTGGTGGCTTGCATGGGCTCGTGGACATTCCAGACCTGCTCGAGCCAGTCAGCGCAGAATTTGTCGGCAGCATCCTGCGCGTCCGCTGTCACGCCGTTGGCCAACAGCCCTGTCCCCGCACCCGCGGGCCCACGCGTCCACCTGTGGGCGAGGCCAGCGCCGTTCAACGTGGCCTGCTTCGCCCAGGCGTCAAATGAACGGCAACGTGCCTTCTCGAACTCTTTGGAGAGGCGCACGCTCACATTCTGGGCCTGGTCCGCCAGCTTGGCCAGGTCGTCGATCGTGAGCTTGCGCAGCCGCTGCCAATACGCCTCGAAGTGGTGCCAATCTTGAGTCTTCATGAGGGAGCCATTCCAGTGCTCCAGAGTGTCGAGGAGTCGTTTCGCTGCCTGGCGGTGCCTCAGCTCGTCTCTCTCGTATGCCCGCTGGAGCTCGCGTAGACGGTCATGCAGCCAGAGAGCCTGGCGTGCCTCTGGGGATGCCTTGGCCACCGCCGCGTTGTTCCGCCTCGTGGGGTGTATCTTGACGAAGCGCGGCTCCAGCCCTCGCCCTGTGTACTTCGGCATGTCGTCCTTCGGGATATGGAACAAGCTGCCCAACTCCTCCTCAGCTCCCTGCATGAAGGCCGCGAATCCGTTGGCCAAGGCCTCCTGACAGCCCTCCGTTTCCCCCAGGGCCGTCATGGCCTCTCCCCAGGATGTCGCCACCTCCCGCACAGGCCCTATGGGCCGCGTAGCTGGGAAACAGGCGGGGGCCTTGTGAACCGTGATCAGGTCCTCCACCACACCGTTCTTCAGCTTGAGTCCAACTGGGCGGTGATCCTTGATGGTGGTGGTGTGGATGACGAAGCAGGACTCGACCCTCGGCACGAAGGCCTTCGGCAGGACCCAGTAGTCCAGCACGGAGCCCTCC